GAAAAATCAATTTGTACATCCGTAAACCGGACCCAACAGTATCTAGTCAATCGATTTACGCCCACATTACGGTCAGGCCCATGCTCAGGTACCGCTTGTAACCTGGAAACTATTTTCAAACTATTCAAGGTTAGGGTTTAAGCACTCACAAACCCACCGTTGAGGTTCAATCTCTTCAAATCTCGGGGTAAGCTCCTCTTCATATGATTTTCTCTCCCGCGAATGGTGTAAACTGATATTACTTGATTCTGCATGGCTTCTGCTTCATACATAGATGTGACATGTATTTGTTCAGATTTTAGGGTTCCACCCTTTTCATTTTGTATGATTTTCCGCCAATTGCTGCATTTAATTTGTATACTTTGCGCCCATTTATAGATAAAAATTGCCTTTTTTTCTAACTCATTCTATCAGGCGCTCTAATCATATGCCATTTGCTCATCTAGCTGTGAGAGTCTGTGGGAGGGTGTCGAAAGGAAAACACAAACATTGTTTGGATGTGATCGAAACCTGATTTTTATGTTTTATTGCTGCTCTGTTATAGGTTACCAGTGCATCAGGAGTAGCTCGGGAAACAAAATTGGGATCCTTACCTTTGGATACTAATTACAAGGAGGCACAGATGGATGAATCTCCATCATCACTAAAAAGAAAACAGCCGGAAGATAATTCAGAAGGTGGACAGGATGTGCCCGAACAAAAATCTGCCTCCAAGAGGAGTAATTTAACCCGGACATGTGTGCATGAGGTGGCAGTTCCAAGAGGGTATACTTCAAGCAATGATGAATCAATTCATGGAACCCTTTCAGATCCTTTTTATAACGGGAAAAGGGCAAAGACCTACAAATTTCAGCTTGATCCTTTTCAGGAGGTTTCAGTGTCTTGTTTGGAGAGGAAGGAGTCCATTTTGGTGTCGGCACACACTTCCGCTGGGAAAACTGCAGTCGCCGAGTATGCCATTGCCATGGCTTTTAGGGACAAGCAGAGGGTTATATATACTTCTCCATTAAAAGCTTTGAGCAATCAGAAGTACCGGGAGCTGAGTCATGAGTTTTCAGATGTGGGCTTGATGACGGGCGATGTGACACTTTCTCCCAACGCAAGTTGTTTGGTGATGACTACTGAGATCCTCAGAGGGATGCTTTATAGAGGTTCTGAGGTTCTGAAGGAGGTCGCTTGGGTCATATTTGATGAGATACATTACATGAAAGATCGTGAAAGAGGTGTTGTTTGGGAAGAAAGTATTATTTTCTTGCCCCCCGCCATTAAGATGGTTTTCCTTTCGGCAACAATGTCCAACGCAACTCAGTTTGCCGAGTGGATATGTAATATACACAAGCAGCCGTGCCATGTCGTCTATACAGATTTTAGGCCGACCCCGCTGCAACATTATGTGTTCCCAATGGGAGGTTCCGGATTATATCTTGTAGTTGATGAGAACGAGCAGTTTAAAGAGGACAACTTTTTGAAGCTTCAGGATACATTCACGAAGCAAAATTTCTCAGATGGAAAGAAAAATGCAAATGCTAAGGCTGGTGGCAGAATTGCTAAAGGTGGAAATGCTTCTGCTGGTTCTGACATATACAAAATTGTCAAGGTAAGATGCTCAATATCAGAGACTGCCACCTTCCATTTGATATTTAGTTATTGGACTATCTGTATCCTTGTATTAGTGAGCATAATGTATTCTTTTCCAATTGTGGATGTCTGAGTTTGGTTGATTCACTATGTCTATTTTGTACTTTGTTTCGAATCATCTTGTCTTATATGTGGTTCAGTGTTCACTCCGTAAATGCTGTCTTTGCAGATGATAATGGAGCGGAAATTTCAACCTGTCATAATTTTTAGTTTCAGCAGAAGAGAGTGTGAACAACATGCCATGTCTATGTCCAAGCTTGATTTTAATACACAAGACGACAAAGATGCTGTGGAGCAAGTGTTTAGAAATGCAATACAGTGTTTGAATGAGGAGGATAGGAATCTTCCAGCAATTGAATTAATGTTGCCGTTGCTTCAGAGAGGGATTGCTGTCCATCATTCGGGCTTGCTCCCCATTATCAAGGAACTCGTGGAACTTCTTTTCCAAGAAGGACTAGTTAAGGCTCTTTTTGCCACAGAGACGGTATAGCTCTTTCTGTTTTTTTATTCAAGATCATGTGCATCTGAGCTCTTCATTTGACAGCAACTCTTTATCTCATAAAACTATCATTAAAAGATTTTTACGTTCTTCCTTTACTGCCGATCTGTTTTATCGACATATCTCGTGAAACCTTTTTCAATATGTTCTTGTAAGGATATAACGTTTTGCACCATTTTACCAAATTTTATGTAAGACAGTTCGCCATGGGGTTGAATATGCCTGCAAAAACTGTTGTTTTCACAAGTGTCAAAAAATGGGATGGTGATAGTCATCGTTATATTGGATCTGGTGAGTATATCCAGGTGAGTAGATTTTGTTCTGCTTCAAGTTGTGTATTATATCTGATTTGCTTGTATAATTGTTGACTTATATGCTTGTGTTGCAGATGAGTGGTAGAGCTGGGCGTCGTGGTAAAGATGAGCGGGGTATTTGCATTATAATGGTTGACGATAAAGTAAGATCAATGCTTCCTCTTTTCTTTCTTTCTCTCACTTATTTAGTTTCTTAAACATTAGGCTTCCCTGGATGGTGTATTGTATATGTATCCATTTGGTCATGATCCATGTTCATTAGAAATTAGCATACGGGACAATATTTCCTACATCAATCACTCTTTCATAGTTTACCTTATTATTTTTTATTACCTTCTTAATGTTAAAAAGTTGTATTATACACGAAAATTTAGAAAGGCCACATGCCAGATAATATGCAGCCAAATGGATCACTTCAACTTCTGTAGAAATACACTGGACTATATGTTGGTGAAGATTGTATGACCTTTTGCAACTTGCAAGTATGGAACTATGTATAGCAGATGCAACTGTCTTTGTCCTCATGATTATATAAACACTCTTATTATTGGGAAAGGGAGAATAAAGTAAAATCATATAAAAATTATCCACTTGAAAAGATAGGTTCTCTTGGAATGGTTTGGCGAACAGAGGCATAACCAAACCCTATATTAAGAAGACTGCTACTTCAATTTAAATATAACAGAAGTACACCTTTAATCTGCAGCCAGTGAAATTGTCAGATTCCAAATATTTTTGGTAATGCTCATCTGTAATTTAACTATTCTTTTATTGTAATGTTTATTTATTTTATTTGTTATCAGATGGAGATGAATACCCTTAAGGACATGGTTTTGGGCAGACCTGCACCATTGCTCAGTACTTTCAGGTTGAGCTACTACTCAATTTTGAATTTAATGAGTCGTGCCGAGGGACAATTTACAGCTGAGCATGTCATTAGAAATTCCTTCCATCAATTTCAGCATGAGAAGGTATAACCGCTAAATTAGTTACAGTTGTGCTGATCCATTGGTCGCAATAGTGAGAGAATTAACTTCTGCTTCTTTAGACATTACCTGAGATTGCGAAAAAGGTGGCACTGCTCGAAGAGGAAGCTGCTGTACTTGATGCTTCTGGAGAGGTACAGCTGTGATTCTCTGTAAACTTGAAATTGTTGCTGAGGTTTATATTAAAATGAAAAAAATTCACTGTTCCTACTGCTAGGCTGAGGTTGCCGAATATCACAAACTTAAACTTGAGATTGCTGAACTTGAAAAGAAAGTGATGGCTGAAATAACACAGCCTGAAAGAGTTCTCTCATTCCTTCAACCTGGTAGACTGGTATGTGCCAAATTAGGTGTTTCCTGACATATTCTTAGTTTTGCGCTGGATTTGAATTTATTCTCCTTCCATATTAATTATCTCTCGGGGTCACTTCATTTGTAGGTTAAGGTGAGGGAAGGTGGCATAGACTGGGGTTGGGGAGTTGTAGTAAATGTGGTGAAGAAAACCCCAGCTGCATCCAGTTCTTTGCCAGCTGCACTTGCTTCTTCACGAAGTAATAGCTATATCGTGGATACCCTTCTTCACTGCTCCCTCGGCTCAATTGAAAACGGGTCTCAACCAAAACCTTGTCCTCCTCGTCCTGGAGAAAAAGGTCAAATGCATGTGGTGAGTTAAAATTTATAAGGGGAAAATGTTGCAGATCTTGTGTGTGTGTTACAAAAAAGCTTTGACTGCAGCGTACATCTATAATAAAGAGAGTTATGCACTTTTCTGTTTGCCTCAGGTTCCTGTCCAGTTGCCTCTCCTTTCCGCTGTCAGCAAGCTGAGAATCTCCGTTCCTTCTGATTTGAGGCCAATGGAAGCTCGACAAGACGTTCTTTCTGGTGTTCAGGAGCTTGAAAAGCGCTTCCCTCTAGGCCTTCCCAAGCTAGACCCTGCAAAGGTGTTTAATTTGTCTTCTGATGCTGCTTATAGTTACCCTGAATTTACTGGATATTTTTCGTGCTGATTTTTGTGTTTTGAATGGTTATGCTGAAAGAGGCCGCCCTATAGTGGCCTAAATTGTATCTCACACTTCCGCTTTCGAAATGGTTGTCTTAAGATACAAATTATTAGATATGTAATTTGATTTATTATGTCTAAGTCATATTTTTGAGAGAAATGTCAGTACCAAAGTTTTTGTGGACGTGGTAGGTCTAGGTTTATTTTTATCGTTTTCGCCCATGGTTGTGAAATTGGTGAGTGTACTTGAATGTGTGTTGTACCCAAAACTAGAATGTTTGAGATCAACACATGCGGTGGTGCTTGATTCACGAATTATAACTTGAGAATAAATGCATGCAAGAAGTTTGGGGCTATCAATAATACTGTCAATCTTTTGATAGGTTGCTTTGCATCGCTACATTTGAAACATATCACTATCCCATCCTCATTCAATACTATTATGTTTGGGTAATGAGTTTCCTTACATTTGACTGTATTGGTACTTGTATAATAGTGTGCATTGGATATCCTCCAATCCATTCAAATCTATGTAGCTAACAGTTTTCATCATATATTATTTAATTTATGTTTATCAGGAAATGCAAATAAATGATCCAGAACTTGTTGAGTTGGCTACCCAAATTGAGGGACTTGAACGAAAATTGTTTTCACATCCACTGCATAAGGTTGGCCAAAATTCATTTTTCTGTAAATTTGGTATATTTTGCTGGAATTCGTTCTTATTTTATGCAGCTAGGTTAACGTGGTAGTAAATAAAGGACGCCAATCCACACCTAGATGTTTCTAATTCTTTCATATATTGGTAATTCTGCGCAGTCTCAAGATCAGCATCAAGTTAGCAGTTTCCAGAGGAAGGCAGAAGTCAATCATGAAATTCAACAACTAAAGTCAAAAATGCGTGACTCGCAGGTGCTTCTCTCTTTGTGCATATCCGCTAAAAACCTGATTTCATCAGCTTTTTGCTGAAGTTTGACTATAACTATGATAAATGCACTGATTTTTATGTTTTCGATTTATTGCTATATTTTACTTGGCTGGGTTTAATAATATTTGAGTCTTGTTTGGGCCTTCACATTCTTCTGATTGTCATCTTTTTCTTGTCTGTGATTATGTATATTATCTATCTCCTGGATTACCAAAAATTTGAAAGCATTATATGTGATTCTAACCATATTCATTCCTTATTTATTTTCAGCTACAAAAATTTCGGGATGAACTTAAAAATCGCTCCCGTGTTCTCAAAAGACTTGGTCATATTGATGGTGATGGCGTTGTTCAGTTGAAAGGACGGGCAGCTTGCCTGATAGATACAGGGGATGAGCTGCTTGTCACAGAATTGATGTTCAATGGTTAGCCTCCTCTATTTGACATGTCAAAATGTATACCAATAATTCTTTTTAGGGATCCAATATAGAAAACAAGCTTTTTGTGCTTTAATTAGTATGCTCACCAGGAGATGTTGCAGTTTCATTTATCAATCAGTTATATCGTTTTTAATTTTATTGTTGCAATAATGATATGTAATATTCTGCTGAAATTTCTTATATTCCTAACATTTAAACTATTCTATAGTAGCCCTATCATATCTGAAAATTAGTTAAGTAGACCATGCTGTATTTACTAATATCTTGATATTTTATTTCAATAAATATGTAAAACAGGCACCTTCAATGATCTTGATCATCATCAAGTTGCATCTTTGGCGAGTTGCTTTATTCCTGGAGATAAATCAAGCGAACAGATACATCTAAGAGCCGAACTTGCTAAACCCCTGCAACAGCTTCAAGACAGTGCTAGAGGAATAGCAGAGGTTTTTTTAGCTTTGATCATAATCATATATCAATTTCCATAAATTATTTCTGCACTAATTAAGAGCTAGCACTCCCAAAATGAAATATTTGCATTCATTAAAAGTGGCAACCGAGAAATATTATTTTGTTGCAGATTCAGCGGGAGTGTAAACTAGAAATCAATGTGGATGAATATGTTGAGGCGTCAGTTAGACCATTCTTGATGGATGTGATTTACTGTTGGTCAAAGGTTAGTTCATTGATTTTATTGCTTTGTAAGCCTGTCCCATCAACAGGAAATAGCAAGCCAAAACAGCAAGTTATCTGATTTGAGGCTTCATGGATGGAAGAATTTGAAAAGTAGAGGTTTCAATATCCACAATAATAAATGGGATAAGTTTGATTGATGATAAATACAAGGAATTTTGAATTCTTAGGCTCCCATTTTGAACTATTTTTGAGGTCTTTTGGTAATTTCCTAATCCTTCAATGGAGTCATTTGAAAATTGAAATCCCTCCACCCAAATGCAACTTCAAGTTCACTTCAATTATTTCATTTCAATTTGAGTTAAAAAATATGAAGAAAATAGACTGATATATCTTGCTTATATTGTTTGAGATAACTTTTGTTGGAGTCGGATAGATATTTTGTTATTGATCTTCTATGTAGTTAATGCTTCTTAATATTATTCTTTTCCAGGGAGCAACTTTTGCAGAAGTTATTCAAATGACCGATATTTTTGAAGGTAGTATCATACGAGCCGCGAGAAGGCTCGATGAATTTCTAAACCAGGTAACAATACTCTACTGCTATGCGGTGAATTTATTTATTCAGTCCCCAAAATCAGTTTTTCACCCAATTGAACGCTCTTCGTACTTAAATAAAGGGAAGTGCAAACTTTACCCCTTTCAGCTTGCATAACTGAGATGATAAAATGTAATGCCTGTGAGAGCCCTTAGGCCTTAAATAATTCTATAAACAAATATAAGTGACTCAACCTCAAATCTCCAGTGGTCACTGGAGTACTTAAAGAGATCTTCCACTTATTTTTATTTTTTCTACTTTTCTTCATGTTTTATTCTCTTTCTCCCTGCAAAAGCGAACGGTCTAGCCATTGGATTAGTACACTCGTCATATATGCTATTTGTTTTTTCCGACTTCTTAGCTGAAAGGTGCTGCACATGCGGTTGGGGAAGTTGGTTTAGAGGATAAGTTTGCAGCGGCGAGTGAAAGTCTTCGTCGAGGTATAATGTTTGCGAATTCGTTATATCTGTGAAGTGATGGTTGAGATTGACACACAAACTGCCAGCATCTCAAAGCTCGCGCCACATCTATAGGCCAGTGATTCTTGTTGTTTTGCTTTAGTATTTTTCATGCTACATAAGACACTTGGATC